GCTTCAGCTTCAGCATTAGTCCTTCCAATGAATATTCAGGGTTAATTTCCTTTAGGATTGACAGGTTTGATTTTGCAGTCCAAGGGACTCTCAAAATCTTCTCCAGTGCCACAATTAGAAACCATCAATTCTTCAGTGTTCAGCCTTCATTTTGGTCCAGCTCTCACATCCATACATGACTACTGGAAAAACTGTGTAACTTTGACTATATGGACCTTTGTCGGCAAAGTGATGTCTCTGCTTTTTAATATGCTGTCTAGGTTTGTCATAGTTTTCCTTCCAAGGAGCAAGTGTCTTTTAATTTCATGGCTGCAGTCTCCATCTGCAGTGATCTTGGAGCCCAAGAAAATAAAATCTGTCACTGTTTCCACTTTCCCCTCTATTTGCCATGAAGCAATGCAACCAGATGCCATGACCTTAGTTTTTTAGTGTTGTTTCAAGTCAGCTTTTTCACTCTCCTCCTCTACCCTCATCAAGAGGCTCTTTAGTTCCTCCTCACTTTCTGCTGTTGGAGGAGTATCGTCTGTGTGTCTGAGGTTGTTGATGTTCCAGCCGGCAATCGTGACCCCAGCTTGTGGTTTATCCAGCCCAGCATTTCACGCGATGTACTCTGCATATAGATTAAATAAGCAGGATGACAATACACAGCCTTGACTTGCTCCTTTCCCAATTTTGAGCTAGTCAGTTGCTCCATGTCCAATTGTAACTGTTGCTTCTTGACCCACGTACCGGTTTCTCAGGAGACAGGTGAGGTAGTCTGGGACTCCCATCTCTTGCTGTGCACGGTCAAAGGCTTTAGTGTAGTTAATGAAGCAGAAATAGATGTTTTTCTGGAATTCCTTTGCTTTTCCCATGATTCAGAAAAGTGTTGGCAACTTGATCTCTGGTTCCTCTGCCTTTGGAACCCAAGTTCTTAGTTCACATACTGCTGAAGCCTCTAGCTTGAGGGATTTTGAGCATAACCTTGCTAGCATGTGAAATGAGCACAATTATAGTTGGAACATTCTTTGGCATTGTCCTTCTTTGGGATTGGAATGAAAACTGACCTTTTCTAATCCTTTGGCCACTGCCGTTTTCAAAATTTTGTTGGCATATTGAATATAGCTCTTTACAACATTATCTTGTAGGATTTGAAATAGCTCAGCTGGAATTGTCACCTTCACTAACTTTGTTCATAGTAATGCTTCCTAAGGCCCACTTGACTTCACATTCCAGGATGTCTGGCTCTAAGTGAGTGACCACACCATCATGGTTATTTGGGCATTAAGATCTTTTTTGTATAGTTCTTCTGTGTATTCTTGCCACCTCTTCTTAATCTCTTCTGTTTCTGTTAGATTCTTACTGTTTCTGCCCTTTCCTCTGTTTCTTTTCATTGTTGATTTATGTAGGCTTTTTTTTTTTTTTAATGTTTCCTTGCTGTTCTCTAGAACTTTGCCTTCAGCTGGATTTATCTTTCCCTTTTCCCCTTGCCTTTAGTTTCTCTTCTTTCCTCAGCTATTTGTAAAGCCTCCTCAGACAACCACTTTGCCTCCTTGCATTTCTTTTTCTTGGGGATGGTTTTGGTCACCGCTTTCTGTACAATGTAATGAACCCCTATCCATAGGTCTTCAGGCACTCTTGACTACCAGATCTAATCCCTTGAATCTATTTATCACTTTCCCTGTGTAATCATTAGGGATTTAATTTAGGTCATACCTGAATGATCTAGTGGTTTTCCCTACTTTGTTCAGTTTAAGCCTGAATTTTGCAATCAGAGGCTCATGTTCGGAGCCACAGTCCACTCCAGGTCTTTTTTTTTTTTTGCTGACTGTATAGAACTTCTCCATCTTCAGCTGCAAAAAATAAAGTCAGTCTGATTTTGGTAGTATTGACCATCTGGGGATGTCCATGTATAGAGTCTTCTCTTGTGTTGTTGGAAGAGGGTGTTTGCTATGACCAGTGTGTTCTCTTGACAAAACTGTTAGCCTTTGTCTTGCTTCATTTTGTACTCTAGAAAACCAAAATTTGCCTGTTATTCTGTGTACCTCTTGATTTCCTACTTTTGCATTCCAATCCCCTATGATGAAAAGGGCATCTTTTTTTGGTGTTATTTCTAGAAGGTTTTTATAGTCTTCATAGGACCAATCAACTTTAGCTTCTTCAGCATCAGTGGTTGAAGTGTAGACTTGGATTACTATGATGTTGAATGGTTTGCCTTGAAAATGAACTGAGATCATTCTGTTATTTTTGAGGTTGCACCCAAGTACTGCATTTTGGACTCTCTTATTGACTGAAGGCTACTCCATTTCTTCTAAGGGGTTCTTGCCCACAGTAGTAGATATAATGGTCGTCTGAGTTAAATTTGCCCATTCCTGTCTATTTTAGCTCAGTGATTTCTGAGATGTAAATGTTTAGTCTTGCATCTCGTATTTGACCACATCCAGTTTACCTTGATTCATGGACCTAACTTTCCACGATCCTGTGCCGTATTTTTCTGTACAATATCAGGCTTTACTTTCACCACCAGGCATATCCACTGAGCATATAATGCATATAAACTGAGCACTGTTTCCACTTTGGCCCAACCACTTCATTCTTTCTGGAGCTATTAGTAATTGCCCTCTGGTCTTCCCCAGTAGTATATTGGACACCTTCCAACCTGGAGGCCTCATCTTCTGGTATCGTATCTTTTTGTCTTTTTATACTGTTTGTGAGGTTCTCACGGCAAGAATACTGAAGTGGTTTCCATTTCCGCCTTCAGAGTACCACGATTTGTCAGAACTCTGCACTATGACCCGTCTGTCTTGGGTGGCCTTGCACAGCATGGCTCATAGTTTCGTTGAGTTACGCAAGCCCCTTCACCATGGCAAGGCTGTGATCCATGAAGGGGATGGTATGAATACAGCATTTCTATTTTCTCTTCTAGGCAGCTAAGAAATATTTAACTCAGAATTTTAAAACTGAGAAAAATAGGTTTTTTTAATTCCCCTGAACAAATCAGGATATCTTCTTCAACTATTTCTCTAAATGAAGCGTTAAAAATGATGAGATGTTTTTGACACCCAGAAGGGAGCACAGAGTAATGTGAGAACACTTGTTCTCACCACTTCTCTCGAATGAGAATCCTGTTGGCACAGGTGCCTCTGTGCATCCTGAGCTCCCCTTCCTTCCCTCCTCACAGTGACCGCTGTGCCAGCCTGGGCACTTATCATGTCCCGGCAGCTTATGTGTGTTGGCACTCATCTGTCAGCTGGGTGCTATCGCTGTGTCGCAGTGGCAGTTAATGTTATTTTTCTGAGGAGTCTTACTTTATTTCTTTGCTTTTTGGCCATTATTTTACAAATCGGCTCCTGATTTGTTCCAGGACAGAGCCATGCCACTTGAGCTCTCCCCACCGTATTTTATTAATATAATGTGAGTGAGGAATATATGTACTCAGTTTCAGAGCCTACAGCTGTGGAAAAAAGGAGCCGCTCCACAGGCCTGGCTTTTTTTTTTTATTCCCATCATGATCTGAAGTCAAATTGGTATAAAGAGTCTTACCATAAATAATCTTAAGGATCTCACGGCTGAAACTATTTCTGAGTGTTGTTCTTCAGTCAGTAAGTCATGTCCAACTCTTTTGCAGCCCCATGGGTGAAGTGGACTAGGCCCAAGTTCTGTTCAAGTTTCAGGTAGATGAGCTTATTACGTGCTTCTAACATCTTCTCCAGATTTAAAAAATTGAGCATGGTATTCCTCACTTGTGGTTGTCTTGTTGAAGTCCCATTAGCAAATAGTCTGGCCTTGGTCACATGAGAGCTTCCCACCGCCACCACCCGCCGCCCCGCCCGCCCCCTCAGATATAAGGGAAAAGACTGCCTTAGGATGGCACAGAATTAGAGTAGTCTTCTCCAAAAAGACAGACAAAAACCAGAAACCAAAAAGGCCAGTAAGTTGCTAATTATGATGCAGCTCCAAAATGAAGAAATGCTGATTCAGTGTAATCAGTTTATGTGGAAAAAAATTGCAGAGACTGAGACTTTTAGAGAGATAGATAAGAGGAAAGTAGGTAATAAGCTGAGTAAGAAGCAAGAATTGCAGTTGCGATGCAGGTTAGGTACTGGGCTAACAGTGGACAAGAAGCTGCTTTGGGGATTATATGCTTGAGACAAAAATGGCTTAGAAAGAGAATATTGAATGGCTCGAAAATATCGATCACTGGCTCTTAGCATCTGAAACACAGGGAATACTCTGGAGTTAATTGATGAATTACTGATAGAGTCTCATCAACTAATAAAAGTTTTCCAGTAAGAGCATATATTTATATACATGATAGTTTTCCACATATGAAGATATGTTACAACTTATCTGAGTAACATTTATTAAGTAACTACTTTTAAAAGATAATCAAGATGGTTATCCTTTTGTCATCTTTAAAGTAGTTCTATTAGATAAGAATGATGTGGAAAATATATATATGTATGTGTATATATATTATATTTAAATAGACTCTGCCAAAGTTCAGTGACTGAAGATTGTGCACAAATTCTTCATTTCTTTCATAAAACTAATTTTGTTGAATTTTCCATAAAAAGTGCAACTGCTAAACATTCTTGTGATAGCTTCTTTGTGACTGTGTCACTGTTCTTGATTTGCACACGCCTTATAATTTAAGCCTTCTTTTGTTTGGGGTTGGCAGTTCCAACTGTTTAGGCTCTTGTCTGATTATGTGGGACTCCTTATTTTAATGGGAGCAGCTTCTCTGCTGCATTTTTAAAAAATGGTCTCGGAAGCTTCTTACTGTGGATCTTTGTTAGGGACAAAGGATTATTTATGCTAAAGGAAAATGTATTCCCCACTGAATTAGCTCGTGGGAAGCATAACAAGCTCATTAGTAATGCTCAATTGTACTTTGGCCTTTTGCTAGGGTAGAGAGAAGGAAAAATGATATCAAGAACATTCTGCTGTTCTTTGCCTTCTTACAAAGCCAATGTGATGTGTAACATCAGACTTTTCAGTTAGGTTTAGCTCCATTTCAGCTTTGGTACCAGAAGTATTCCTGAGAGGAAAGTGGAATGTGTAGTGGTTACCGTGCCTGAGGTATGTTTGGTATGACTTAGGGAAGAAAGTCACTTTTCCTGGGAAATGGATAGCATTATAGCCTTATAAGCCATTTTCTGTTTTTTCTTAGAATGTTTTAATGGCGGTTTACAATTAAAAAATAGACCAGTGTATTACGCTGCTCTCAGCAATCTAAAAATTCTAGGTTTTATATAGTCTATATTATTCTGAATGTTTTCAAACTCTTTTTTTCCTCTGAAAATATATTAAAGAATTGTATTAATCTAACTTAATTAAAGTTGTATTTTTTTTCTTGTAGGTTTCAAGAATAGTACTTTAGAGTTTGAATTCCTGTTCCTTTTGGGTTTTTGACTTTAACACCTTGTGGAGAAAATAACTTATGAAAAATTATTATAGAAAGGCATTGAGTATTGTTTCATAGTTAAAATTGATATTTTTCTTTTTTACCTTATTGTCTGGTAGAAGAGGCTTATTTATGGTTTAGCTTGTGAATTTATGCGAAGTTTAGATGAACTTATATGATCTTTTTGTAAAGATCAGATGAAAGATACTTTCAGTATCAGCCGTTGTGATGTTTGTATTACATTATACTTAACAATGTCTTCACAGGGAGAAATTCTGGGGCATTTTTCATATAAAAATAAGTTTTATTGTTAATTTTATTTTGCTAGTCAAATGCTTCAAGAGTTTCTTTGATATTAGTGCCAGAAACTACATATTAAAGTGTTTCAGATTTTCCTCTTTCAAATGAGGAGTACTTTTATGAAGAAGCTAGGAGTATGATTGAATTCTCCTATCGTCAAATAACTCCAAATAGAAGAACAAGTATTAGGTTTTCCGTTAAATAGAATAAAGCAGATTCCTTATAAGTTGAGGGTTTGGGGGAATGGAAAAGCTACCATTGTGTGAATATTAATGTTTTGTTTTATTTTCAGAACAGCAGTGTCATTTCAGTATAGATGACCATGCTGCCTGCAATTCAAGTAAGTGGTTTTCTTGGGGAAATATGTATTTAAATTAATGAGATCAATGTAACAAGATTACAATAGTTAGAGTTATCACAAATTTTTTTATTGTACTAATTTTTTAAGCATCAAATTTAATAACAGAAATACTCTATTTTTACTTTCTAGTTCTAAAAAGACTTTAAGCATTCATTTATACTGCATATTTGTAAGAATCAAAAATACCTTAGGATTGGTGAGTTCATCTTAATTATTTTACCCCAGGAAAAGAATTAGAATATTTTGTGATTTTCTTCTCATTAGAATTTAGGATGTGTTTGTAGTTAAAAGAGCTTTCAATGAAAACAAATGAAAAATTTTAATTTTAGATAATTGTACATGTGTCCTTTAATGCCTGTAAATAACATGATATTAAAACTTAAAATTTAAAGTGTGGACTTTTTTGGTTAGTTTTTTGGTGAGGAGAAGCAAGATGGAAATAATGAGACAAACCAGAATAATCTTACATTTGAATTTGAATGATTTCCAGAGTTAGTTCAGTTCATTTCAGTCGCTCAGTCATGTCGACTCTTTGCAACACCATGAATTGCAGCATGCCAGGCCTCCCTGTCCATCACCAACTCCTGGAGTTTACTCAAACTCATGCCCATCGAGTCAGTGATGCCATCCAGTCATCTCATCCTCTGTCATCCCCTTCTCCTCCTGCCCCCAATCCCTCCCAGCATCAGGGTCTTTTCCAATTAGTCAACTCTTCCCATGAGGTGGCCAAAGTACTGGAGTTTCAGCTTCAGCATCAGTCCTTCCAATGAACACCCAGGACTGATCTCCTTTAGGATGGACTGGTTGGATCTCCTTGCAGTCCAAGGGACTCTCAAGAGTCTTCTCCAACACCAGAGTTAGTACTTATTCTTATATCCTTTCAAGATTTCTTTCTTTTGATATACATAGAACATGACTGAATTTTAACTTAAAAACTGACTGGAAGGTCTACTTAGAAAGATGCAAGCAACTGATAATAAAGTTTGCCTTGGAAAGTGAGAATTGTAGAGTCAATCAGATTTCATGTCTGATTTTAGTTCTGCCACTCAGTGAGGTCCTGGCAAGTTATTTTACCTCTCTTTGAGTTCCTGCTTCCTTGCCTCTAAGGTGAGGATAATAGCACTTATTCTTTAGATAGTTGTGAGGAGTCAGTGAGATAACATGAGCAAGATGTGTCCTGGAATGTGTTACATAGTAGGCACTTAGGAAGTTTATTGTATCACTGGTACAACAAAATTACCCAGGTGTAAAACTGGAGATTATACCTGTGTCATGAGAGTCTTTTTTTTTTAAATTAAGAAAGAAGACATCAAGATAACAGTGGGTGATAGCCTAGAGAAGATAATTTATCACATGGTTAAGAACAGCTCTGGCTGTGACGCTGCTTTCTCTGCTTCTGAGCTGTGCAGTTTGCTAGGAAACACTCTCATTGTGTTTTCCTTCTGGGCTTCCCTTGTGGCTCAGCTGGTAAAGAATCTGTCTGCAATGCGGGAGATTGTTGGGTTGGGAAGATCCCCTGGAGAAGGGAAGGGCTACCCACTCCAGTATTCTGGCCTGGAGAATTCCATGGAATGTATAGTCCATGGGGTCACAGAGTCCAACACGAATGAGCAACTTACACTTCACTTTGGGATTTGGCAGTTCATGGCAGTCTCCCAGAAGGTCTTATTTTACCTGTTTGGGTCCTCTCTAATCCACGTTGAGTATGCTCAGAACTTATTTCTAAAAACCATTTTTATCTGAGTATGTACCTCTATCTCTTTTTATCGAGGTCTTTGTGTGTCGTCAATTTCATGTTGATTATGTTTTCTTCCTTATTGAGTGCTTTTTATCATTGCACATTGACCATATTTTTCTCATTTCCATCCTACTGGCCCTTAATACTTTCTTGATGAATTTTTTTTTTCACAGTGTTTTCTTGTAGTTCCATGAACCTTTCTCTCATCTAAATTACGCAGATCCACCTCTAGTGATTCTTTTTCAAGAGTACTTTTGACTCCCTCATGGAAGTTTTTGCTTCTTTCCCTGGTAAATGTGAGAACTTCCTAGGATTTTCACCTCTTTGCTAATTAATTAGACTTCGTTATTCCTAAATGCCTTGCAGAGAGGAGGCACCCAGTAGACAGCTGTTTTCAACTTGTTTCTTATTCACTTAATTCATGAAGGTCTTCCTTGCCCCTTTTTATGTCCATTGTTCTGATTAGTAAGTAAACTTACAGTCTAAAAATCAGTGAACTATAGCTCCTAATCTCTTTTGGGTCCTAGTGCCTTTTGAAAACCTGACAAAAACTATGAACTCTCTCTCTGAGGAAAGGACTGTTTGTACATAGGCCTAAATTTTTGCCTAAATGTCAGTTAGGTTAAATCAGTAAGTTGTGTACTGATTCAAGTTCTTCTGTAGACTGCCTGTGGTTAGGAATATTTGCAAAATGGCAGTTTTCAGCATGTTTGAGAACAATCTTTGTTATTAACATCTAACTTTTAACAACATTAATGTGCTAATTGCTTTACAGTGTTGTGTTGGTTTTTGCTGTACAACAGTGTGTATCGGTCATGATTATGTATATCCCCTCTGCAGTCTCCCTCCCCTCCCCGCCAACCCAACCCCTAGGTCATCACAGAGCACCAGGCTGGCCTCCCTGTATCATAGCAGCTTCCCACTGTCTGTCTTACACACGATGGCGACATATGTCAGTGCTGCTTTCTCGGCTCGTCCCACCCTCACCTTCTCTGGCTGTGTCCGCAAGTCCGTTCTCTACTAGGCTCATCAGTACTATCTGTTCTTCCTAGATTCCGTATATATGCATTGACATATGATACTTGTTTTTCTCTGACTTACTTCGTCTGTGTAAGAGGCTCTAGGTTTACCCACCTCCCTGACTGACTCAACTGACTCAAATTCATTCCCTTTTATCACCCCCAGGTTTTTATAGTTTTGTTTGTGATAATAGGAATATCCAAGTACTCTTCTCCCTAATATGGCAAGAAATTTAGAATTGTTAGTTTTAACTTCTCCATTTTTGCACAAAATTTTTTTGAGACCGCCTTCCTAGCTAATACACATTTTTCCTTGACAAACATTCACATCTTCTCTGACTTTTGTCAGCTCAGTTAAACGACAAAGAACATTGTATTGACTATAAAATACCATTGACTGTAAGATGCATCTTGATTTTAATGGTGCAAAAAGTCGTTTGCTAGTATCTATTCCTCAATTTCTCAGCTAATATTTTTGGTTGTATATCATGTGCTAGGTCTTATACTGAGTCCTGAGATTATAAACAGAAACAAGATGTGCTTATGAAGGGAAGATTTAGATGTTAAATTGCCGCTATACTCCCTTTGAAATAATTCTAAGAGAATTTGGGGAAATAAACAAAATCTTTTTCCTAAACCTTTATAGGGTCCTCATGTGTTTAAGACTTCATTCTCCAGTCTCTATGCTCAGTTCCTGAACCACTGCCGCTCAGATAATTTTCTTTCTCTTCGTCTTTGGGCACTTTTACGTGTTGCTACTCCTGCCTGGCTCTGGTGGTATATATTCCTTGTCTTTCTTTGCTTTGGGATTTTTAAAAAATGTGTTTATTTCTTACCATAGGAGATTGGAATGGGCTCTTTATTTTATTTTATTTTTTTTTGCATTGTATGCATGTCTTTTTATTTTTATTTTTTTAATTTATTTTTTAATTTTTTATGTTTTTTTTTAATTTTTAATTTTTTCCATTTATTTTTATTAGTTGGAGGCTAATTACTTTACAGTACTGTAGTGGTTTTTGCCATACATTGACATGAATCAGCCATGGATTTACATGTGTCCCCCATCCCGATGGGGCTCTTTATTTTCCTCCAAGTTTGTCTGGACTAACAATGGTGTTGGTATGGCTTTTAATTTGATATAGTTAAGACTTGCCTCAAATAAACTTCAGTGAGTTTAATATATTTTAGGGAGGAAATTATCTGCTTTTAAAAATCAGGAAAGAACTAGATTCACTTGATATTACCTATCTTTATGCCTCTTTTTAAGAAAACTTAAAAATTTTTTCACTTAAAAACAAACCTACAACTAATTGTTAAGTGTAGAACAGAAGTTTTGTTTGCTGAAACATTTGAAAATAGGTTGCAGATCTTGTGCCCCCTTACTTCCAAACTTCAGTAATGTATTTCTCATGTGCAAGGACTTCCTGCTCTAAAACCACCATTAAACCATCAGAGTCAGGATATTGATGTTGGTGCAGTACTGCCGTCTAATATTCAGACCACTTTCAAATATTGCCAGTTGTCCCAATAGTGTCCAGTTGAGAATCACATGTTGCGTTTAGTTGTCGTGTCCCTTATTCTCTTATCAGCCCAGAGCAGTATCTCAGTCTTTGCTTTCTTTAGTGACCTTGACAGTTTGGAACATTATAAACCAATTATTTTGTGGGATGTCCCTCAATTTAGATTTACCTGATATTCTCATGATGAGATTGAGGTTATGCATCTTGGCAGGAATATCAGCGGGATGTTGTTTCATCTCACTACATGCCATTAAGTAGCATATGATTTTGATTTGTCCCATTATTGGTCATATTCACTTGTGTCACTCAGTTAAGTTGCTGCCTGATAAGTTTCTCAACTGTGAAATTACTCTTTCTTTCTTTGTAATAAGTATTTCTGTGGAAGTACTTTGAAACTGTATGAAAATCTCATCCCTCATCAGAATTCCAGTTGATTCATTTATTTGTATCTGCGTGAACTCAGAAGTTGTCCATTTTATTCAGTGGGTTATAATTCCCTTACATCATTATTTTGATGCTCAAATGGTTGTTAATTTAGCCAGCAGAAGTCCCTTCAAGTTGACTTTTGGGTCCTTTTGCATGTCTCCATCATTCTTTAAGTACCTCTTTGCTTTCCGGTAAAAATACTCCATTCCTATACCATAGAGTTCATTCTAACTTTCTCTGAGTCCATAGTTACACCTCTCTTCTTTGGCAGGAAGAAACCTGGCTCCAGCTTGTTAAATCCTCGTGTCTCCCATTGTTACTGGCAGCTCTGCCTAAGTCGATGCCCTTCTCAGCTCACTTGGGTTCTGACACCCTCACTGGGACGTTCCCCCACTGTCCCCAGTGGACACCCTCCTTACCTTGCCTCGGGTCTGACACTGTGCCTGGGGCTGTCCCCATGTGTAGTAGATGCCTGTCACCTCACTCAAACTCTGATCCTCTGTTTCTCTCCTCCTGTGAGAACCCTTTCACCACTTGGGCTCTGATACCCTTTCCTCAATTGAAATTTAGCACAGTCTTTTTTCTCTCAATAATTCTATATTAAAAGTACATCTAATTATATTTCAAAATTTGCAAGTGTTGGTTTGATAGCATGTTTATGTCTGTTTTTATTTTAAACCAGGGGTTGACCAGTTAGTAAATATTTTTGACTTTGTGAGTTGGTAGGCAAAATTGAAGCTATTATGTAGGTGCTTATATAACTACCATTTTAAAATGTAAAAATCGTTTTTTTGCTTGTGGGCCTTGCAATAGCAGGTGATGGACCAGATTATATAGGTTTTTTAGATAACACTGTTGTTAGGATTTAAAGTTTATAAAATGCCATCTGTGCATTCATTCCTTTATTTTTCCATTATTCAACAAATATTGTTAGGCCCAGTGCTGCATTCTACAAGTGTGTTAGTCACTCAGTCATGTCCAATTCTTTACGACCCCGTGGACTGTAGCCTGCCAGCTTCCTTTGTCCAAAGAATTCTCCAGGCAAGACTACTGGAGTGGGTAGCCCTTCCCTTCTCCAGGGGATCTTCTCAACCCAGGGATCAAACTCAGGTCTTCTACATTCTACAAAGATGTATTATTAACTCATTTTACAACCAAGATGCTGAGACTCTGGTCAAGTAACTTGTTAAACTTACTCAGCTAACAAGTGAAAGAAAGATAATTATGTGTTGACTTTTATCCCCTTGATTTGACAGTAGAATCCTTTAGTTAGAGATTCACTTGTACTTGTCACAGGATTGAATATGGAAAGTAAGGCAAGAATCTAGACCAGTCGTTTGCTTCCAGTGTGTTAGCTCTCTGTGAGCCGCTGCAGCTCTGTACGCGTGTGTGTTAAATATGGTGTACGATTCACTGTTTAAATAAACGCTGGAATCCTGACTTTTAACAAGTTGCGCCTGTTGGTTGATGTTTTCTCTAGGTGTGGTTTGGAGAAGACCTGCCTCTGAGTCCTCGGAGTCCTCTGACCCCCAGACATGGGCCAGGTTTGGCTGATGTTTGTCAGTATGATGAGTGGATAGCCGTGAGGCATGAGGCCACCCTGTTGCCCATGCAAGAAGACCTGTCAATCTGGTTGTCTGGTTTATTAGGTAAGGCTGGCAAAGACACTCAGAATTGTACTCTCTTACCCAGAAAATGTTTATTGAGAATCTTACTCTTTGTCAAGGAGTCATTGTTTCAGAGGTTGGGGATCCTCTAGTGAAGGAAATATTTGATGTCCTTATTTTCACCAAACTTACATTCTATCTTACAGAAGATATTCAGGTTCACTCTGACCTCCAGGGCTTGAATAGTAAGCAAGTTTGAGGCTCAATGGTAGAGGTCAAGTAGTGGTCAAATAGTAAAAGCTGTGAATAATCAATGTTTTCATTGTTAATATTAAAACAAAATTTAAGTATGTCGGTCTAATTTGGGAGTCTATATTTGATTGATTTTTTTTTTCTCCCTTAAACTTGTGTGAAGCGTGAGATTCTGGGTGGAATCTATGCTGTAATTAAAATGATTTCTGTTTCCCTGGTGGCTTAGCTGGTAAAGAATCCAGCTGCAATGTGAGAGACCTGAGATTGATCCCTGGGTTGGGAAGATCTCCTGAAGAAGGGAATGGCTACCCACTGCAGTATTCTGGCCTGGAGAATTCCATAGACTGTACCATCCATGGGGTTGCAAAGAGTTGGACACAACTGAGCAACTTTTACTTCACTTCTGTTTCTGAAGCTCTGAGGGGCACAGGCATATGAAACCTAGGAGGAAGTGTTAGGATGGGGAATACATGGCATCTTACTTCTTTACTCAGAGGGTGTGAGTGCTATGAACTTTCCCCCGGGGGTCGGGGGGTGGGGGAAATCTCTTTTAAATAACAGAATTTTGTGTAGCTTTCCAAAGTTTTCATGAAAAGATACACATATATCTCATCTATGGTCTTTCAAGATAATTAAAAATATCGTAAACACTCACTCTAAAGATCTCATATCAGTTTGAAGATTTGGATAATTTTTTTGAAGTTTATTATGTAATAATGCTTCCAAAAAGAAGATTTTAGAGGTGAAAAGCTGGTATTTCCTGAATGCTTGTTATGTTGCTCTTTCATTTTTAAATTGCAACAAAGTCCATCTTACAGAGAATCTTTCTTGTGCATGGAGCTGTAATGTGCAGTGAATCAAAACTGAATAGTGAATACTGAAATAGAAAACACTTCGGTGTTTTTAAATGAAATAAAGTAGATGTCATTTTATTTTTTCTGTGCTTCTATACCACAGATATTTTTGCTTCATTTGACTTTCACTTAATTTGACATTATCTGCTGTTTTAACTGTAATATCTAAGAGTGAATACTTGGGGTCTGATCTAGTGTTTGTCTAGTGTTTCAGCTATAATCTGATTACTTTTAATTAAATTTTAGCCATATTGTTTGAATTTACCGTTTCTGGAAGAATCTTAGCTTTGAAATATGTTCTTAGGTATTGAAGTTAAGGCTGAAAGGCTATTGGAAGAACTTGATAATGGAGTGCTCTTATGCCAGCTGATTGATGTTCTTCAAAACATGGTGAAAACATGCAACTCTGAAGAACCTGTGGTAAGAAGATGTTTGACAGTAGTGATTTTGTACTTTGGTACATATTGATTTGTTTATGGACATTTTTTATTTCTATAAGGTTATAAACTTCCACCTCAACTGTATGTAAATCTTGGATAATTTACTTAATCTTTTTGAGCATCTGAAAAAAAATCTCACTTGTAAAATGGAGATATTAACATTTACCTTATAGAATATAGATTCGAGGAGTCAGCAAAATTAAATGAGATAATATAGAGACAGTGGTTAGCTTCGTGCCTGGTGAATAGTAAATATGTAACAGCTAGCTCTGCCTGAGAATAATAGTCCCTTCCTTATAGGGTTACTGTAAGAGTTTAAATGAGAAAAGAGGTGATGATGGTTCCTGTCACACAGTTGAGAGCTATCGTCATCATCATCTTTGTATTCCTAATATACTATCTTGGTGGTAAATTCTATAAGCATTGTTTGAATGAATAATACTTTTCTTAGACAGTTTTCCTCCATTGATCATGAGGTTGTGATTTGAAGTAGCTAAGGTCTCCTCTCTTTTTATCAAATATGGATATTTTCATTCATGGGATCTGAGGTTTGTGAGTATGGGTTCTAAGCATGAGCATAGCACTGGTAGAAATATAAAGTAGTACCATTTTTCTGGGAGAAAATAGGTAATATATATCACATTGAAAATAAAGCATATTGTTTGATATGTAAGATAATTCTAATTCCAGAAATTTATTCTAAAAAAATAACCGCAAATTCACAAGAATTATTGTGCAAAAAAAATTTAAGAACAACCTAAATGCTCATCAGTAAAGAGGTTGTTTAAAATTAATTATGGTACCTAAATAGTGGAATATTATCTGTTCATTAGAAATGACTATTTTATTTACCCTAAAGGGTGCCTGAAACCTGTCATTAAGTGTGCTTATGCACTTACACAATCAGCCTACAGAAGAGTGTGTTTGTGCAGCAGTATGTAGGGACACATGCTTGTGTACAGAGATGTCTTACTGAAATGTGGATGAGATTTCAGTTACTACCAACCAGCTTTGCATTTGGCAGTATTGGTTGGTTTTTTTTTTCCTACATACAATTAGAAAATCTCAGAAAGCTATTTTAACTCTGGAAGATAATAGCAACAGGAAGGAAATATAAGGAACTGGTAATAGTGGTTATCTCCCAGGAGTGGAAGGAGCTGAGGGGTAAAGGTGGCAGAAAGACATACCCTGCTCTGCCTGTTGTGTTTTAAAAATCACATACACGAATTTCTTATTTCAAGTAAAAATTCAAGAAAAAACTGAAAACTGCTCAGCCTCAGCAGGATTATTCGGTCCAGATAATAAAAATAAAAACATAGGATTCTGTAAAACTTAGATCATCGATTTTCAAAGATCTTGAATTAAGAATGGGCTACTATTTCGTTAGTGAGGTTCTCCTCAAGAAACTCAGAACCATATTTGTAAATCTCCAAATAAGGAAGTAAGCAAAAAGTTGTCTGTCTGTAAACCTTTAACAGCAATAATTTTGTATTTGTATTTATGTTTGGAGAGATGTACTGTAAAGATGTGCTTTGGAATTCTCATGTCATTCTTAAAACCTTCTAGAACTAACACCCCAAAAGCTATCCTTTTCATTATAGGAGACTGGAATGCAAAAGTAGGAAGTCAAAAAACACCTGGAGTAACAGGCAAATTTGGCCTTGGAGTACAGAATGAAGCAGGGCAAAGGCTCATAGAGTTCTGCCAAGAGAACGCACTGGTCATAGCAAACACCCTCTTCCAACAACACAAGAGAAGACTTTGCACATGGACATCACCAGATGGTCAACACTGAAATCAGATTGATTATATTCTTTGCAGCCAGAGATGGAGAAGCTCTATACAGTCAGCAAAAACAAGACCGGGAGCTGACTGTGGCTCAGATCATGAACTCCTTATTGCCAAATTCAGACTTAAACTGAAGAAAGTAGGGAAAACCACTAGATCATTAAAGTATGACCTGAATTAAATCCCTTATGATTATACAGTGGAAGTGACAAGTAGATTCAGGGGATTAGATCTGATAGAGTGCCTGAAGAACTATGGACAGAGGTTCATGACATTGTTCAAGAGGCAGTGATCAAGACCATCCCCAAGAAAAAGAAATGCAGAAAGGCAAAATGGTTGTCTGAGGAGGCCTTACAAACAGCTATGAGAAGAAGAGAAGTGAAAAGCAAAGGAGAAAAGGAAAGATATACCCATTTGAATACAGAGTTCCAAAAAATAGCAAAGAGAGATAAGAAAGCTTTCCTCAGTGATCAGTGCAAAGAAATAGAGGAAAACAGCAGAATGGGAAAGACTAGAGATCTCTCCAAGAAAATTAGATACCAAGGGAACTTTTCATGCAAAGATGGGTTCGATAAAGGACAGAAATGGTATGGACCTAACAGAAGCAGAAGATATTAAGAAGAGGTGGCAAGAATATACAGAAGAACTATACAAAAGAGATCTTCATGACCCAGATAATCACCATGGGTGATCACTCACCTAGAACCAGACATCCTGGAATGTGAAGTCAACTGGGCCTTAGGAAGCATCACAACAAACAAAGCTAGTGGAGGTGATGGAATTCCAGTTGAGCTATTTCAAATCCTAAATTTTTCAAATCCTAAATGATGATGCTATGAAGTGCTGCACTCAATATGCCAGCAAATTTGGAAATTTCAGCAGTGGCCACAGGACAGAAAAGGTCAGCTTTTCATTCCAATCCCAAAGAAAGGCAATGCCAAAGAATGTTCAAACTGTCGCACAATTGCACTCATCTCACACACTAGCAAAGTAATGCTCAAAATTCTCCAAGCCAGGCTTCAACATTACGTGAACCATGAACTTCCAGTTGTTCAAGCTGGATTTAGAAAAGGCATAGTAACCAGAGATCAAATTGCCAACATCCATTGGATCATTGAAAAAGCAAGAGGGTTCCAGAAAAACATCTACTTTTGGTTTATTGACTATGTCAACGCTGTTGACTGTGTGGATCACAACAAACTGTGGAAAATTCTGAAAGAGATGGTAATACCAGACCACCTGACCTGCCTCCTGAGAAGTCTGTATGCAGGCCAGGAAGCAACAGTTAGAACTGGACATGGAACAATGGACTGGTTCCAAATAGAGAAAGGAGTACGTCTAGGCTGTATATTTTCACCCTGCTTATTTAACTTATATGCAGAGTACATCATGAGAAATGCTGGACTGGATGAAGCACAGGCTGGAATCAAGATTGCTGGGAGAAATATCAATAACCTCAGATACGCAGATGACACCACCCTCATGGCAGAAAGTGAAGAACAACTAAAGAGCCTCTTGATGCAAGTGAAAGAGGAGAGTGAACAAGTTGGCTTAAAGCTCAACATTCAGAAGACTAAGATCATGGCATCCAGTCCCATCACCTCATGGCAAATAGATGGGGAAACAGTGGAAACAGTATCAGACTTTATTTTGGGGGGCTCCAAAATCACTGCGGATGATGACTGCAGTCATGAAATTAAAAAGGAGAGACATTACTTTATCAACAAAGGTCCATCTAGTCAAAGCTATGGTTTTTCCAGTAGTCATGTGTGGATATGAGAGTTGGACTATACAGAAAGCTGAGTGCCGAAACACTGATGCTTTTGAACTGTGGTGTTGGAGAAGACTCTTGAGAGTCCCTTGGACTGCAAGGAGATCCAACCAGTCCATCCTAAAGGAAATCAGTCCTGAGTGTTCATTGGAAGGACTGATATTGAAGCTGAAACTCCAGTACTTTGGCCACCTGATGTGAAGAACTGACTCATTGGAAAAGACCCTGATGCTGGGAAAGATTGAAGGTGGGAGGAGAAGGGGATGACAGAGGATGAGATGGTTGGTTGGCATTACCAACTCAATGGAGATGAGTTTGAGTAAACTCTGGGATTTGATGATGGACAGGGTGCCTGGCGTGCTACAGTTCATGGGATTGCAACGAGTCAGACATGACTGACTGACTGAACTGACTTGAACTGCTAATTTTGACCAGATTGTTTTCCTAGAAATGACTTTCTGGAATATATTGGGTTGGCCAAAAAGTTCATTTGAGTTTTTCTGTACCATCTTATGGAAAAACCCAAACAAACCTTTTGGCCAACCCAATACTTATTCAAAAAAGCAAAATAATTTTTGAAGATGCATTTCTCACTAGTGCTGTGTAATCTTTAGCTACCTTCAAGGGACTAAACATTTATTAATGCCCATTTTAATGCCATATTAAAATGGATATCTAATGAAAATATTCTTGATACCTGTTTGAAATTATTCTTTTGTCTTTTCCAGAATTTTCCAATGAGAAAAGTGCCCTGTAAGAAAGATGCTGCATCTGGTTCATTCTTTGCTAGAGACAATACTGCGAACTTCCTTCACTGGTGCAGGCACATTGGGGTTGATGAGACTTACCTCTTTGAATCTGAAGGTTTAGGTAAGTGTTATAGTCGTATTTAATGTTTATTAGGATATTTTTGTATGCCTCACTTCTAGTTTTTCTTTCCAAATAAGAACTTAAATGCCACGTCTCATTTTCCTAGAAAAATTTATATTCTAAATAGATGTGAAACAATTGGAGAATCATATTCCAAATCAAATACATGATTAAACTTTTCGTTTGTAGTTATAAATCCTATATATCTAGAATGGCTTAGACAGACTTTACTTCCCAAATGAATTGGCTATGGGAAAGTTCTGGACTAATGCTTATTAACTAATGTTTTAATTAAGAATTAGGGGATTCCCTAGTGGTCCAGTGGTTAAGACTCTGAGCTCCAAATGGAGGGAGCATGGGTTCGATCCCTGATTGGGGAACTAAGATCCCACATGCTGTGTGTCCAATAAATAAAATAAAACAATTTTTAAAAATATCAAGAATTATTCAACAAAGTCTAAATTACTGGTAATCTCTCTTTGACCATATGATTACAGAAATAACAGAAGGTCAAATGATGTATACTCATGGTGTTTAGATTTACCTCATAAACAGAAGCTGCCAACTTGGTTATCTAAATGGGTTAATGTTTTTGACAGTTCATTTAAAAAACTCATGCTCTACTGGAGAATTATTGATGTATTTTCTCATTTCATTTAATTCAGCAGAAGCATCTGTGCAGTGACCAAACTGAAAGCTATCTAAGTTTTTACTTGACTGTCTGTATATTCCCTCAAAGTATTTATATATGTATAATTGCCTGTTTAATTTGCCCCTTAAAATTTGTGGTCTTATTTTTTCACAGTTTTGCACAAAGATCCAAGACAGGTATATCTTTGTCTTCTTGAAATTGGTCGAATTGTCTCAAGGTATGTATTCCACAATATTTCAGGCTTGTGCAAAGTCATAAAGATGTTTCAGGCTACTTTATTTTGTCTAGAATACTATTTTCTATAAATGAAAATAATTTTTAATTGGAATAAAGTAACTTAATTTACTATTTTTTCTTTCTTTTTCTTCCTTTAGTAACTTTGTTCACGTGAGCTGTGTCAACATTTGCTTGTTCATATAGCTTGCCTTTATTTAATATTAAATTATAAAAGTGGGCACTTAGATTTTTAGGTTAAGAGTAGAATAAGAGCATGCAAGCTTTAAGCAGTTCACATTGAGGCAAGTCCTTTGAACACAAAGAGGGTTTGATAAGACAGCCAAGGTGTGGTATTCTCCATACCTAGTTCAATTCTATCTTCACTCATGAGCTGATTTTTAAAGGTACCTTTAGGATCCCAGATGGAATATTGGGGGCATTCAGTAACCCAAATATATATGCTATGGTGTAAAGGTGATAATTTACATTTTGGGCAGTCTAAGTGACATTAAAAAGCATTTTCAGATGTTCTGATGAAACAACTGGTAGAAAAGAGTCATACAGACTTTATTTAAAATTAAAAGATAACCTATTGTGATATACATGGAAGTACTTGCCTCAGACTTCACTTGACTGATGAGATCTCATGATTCATTTTCAGATATGGTGTTGAGCCACCAGTATTAGTGAAACTTGAGAAAGAAATTGAACTAGAAGAGACTTTACTTAATACTTCTGCGCCTGAAGATTCCATCAGCATTCCAAAATCGTGCTGTCAGCATGAAGAGCTGCATGAAGCTGTAAGTAACTGTCACACTTTCTTCCAGCCATGACGCGCCAGAGTCTCATAGTTTGCCACAAGTGTTCCTCTTTCATTTTTATTGTCATTGAAAAGGGGAAAAGAATGTAGCGCGAATGTAAGTGTTTATTGCACTGTTATTTGTAAGGGTGAGAAATTGGAAGCAATATAAATACTCTCAAATTGGACATTGGTTAGGTAATCTAGGATTCATTATCTTTACAGAATAATCATTTATGTGATCATTATGAAGACCATAGAGCAATAAGAAAAATGTTTATTTTGTATAAAGTATGTATCAGAACTTCATTTAGATTCACCACCTTATTTATATTGTGGGTTAGTGCTAATTTGTACTGCTGAATATAAGTGGTGTTTGGTATTTTGAACAAAGAAAAGAAGTGACTTTTAGTCTTGTTATGAAAACTAAAAGAAAGAAAACACATTTCTTGAAACATACATGTGCTGTATGAATATATTCAATGTCTACCTGTACATACGTGATCTGCCAGATCTTAGGGTCATGTCTAAAATAGGGAGCAATTATTATCTGATTCATTTTTCTGAGTGCTGTGAAAAAGTATAGAACTGTAGCTCTGTGTACCTCAGAAACTTTAATGGATAGAAAATAATGACTGAAATAATTACCTCCTTTCAAATTACTTTTTTACCTGATTTATAAATGATTTAAATAATTATAAATTCTTTCCCAAAGTTCAGATTATTTTTAGCCATCCTTTGAATGTGGTATGTATGTGTGTGTATGAATGTGTGTACATATATATGCACATATACCCAGGCTATGAACAAGATAAACTTGATTGAATGGCATATGAAAATCAGTTCTATTTATAATCATGCTATTTTGTTAAATGAATGATGTTGTGAGATAAATCCAGACACTTCTGATGGGGCCTCAGATGAATCCATAAGTGTCGTCTTGGGTAGATAATTAAGACAGTCATAAATTTCTGTTAGTGCTCAGCTACACTGAGTATATCTGAAGACTTTCTTTAATAGCATGTCTGTGTTCAGTTAACTGAATTTGTTTAGATATACTCTGTATGACAAGTAGTTGAGAAAAATAAACATGGTCTTGATTTTTCAAAAGTGTCATTTTAGGAGAACAAAATATTTTCCACAGTGGCTGATATGTGACTTTTTTTCAAGTCATATATATCTCAGGAAATATTTTCATTGGGTCAATTCATTTTAATTTCCACGTTTTGAATATAGAATTCCTAAATTTTTATTTTTATTTCCATTTTTACCATTTTTAAGATATTTACTGTAGTTAAAAATTCTGTAAACCCCTTACGGAGTAGAGGTAGTTTAACCCTCATCTCCATAGCAGACTATTTGAAACAAAGCAAGTATTTTTAGAAAAATGTCTCTTGAGTTGAAATTTTTAGAATTTACCCTATCTTAGGTGAATAGGTATAAATATGTCTATGCCTATTTTAACAATAACTTTGGAACATACCTGAATATTCCCCCATAGTATTACTGTAGCATAGCATTAGGGAATAAGTGAAAATTCTAGGTTAAACTTTATCTGACATAATTTTTAATTATTTATTCTGTTGGCTTTCTTGGCTTTAAATTTTGTTGTTGTTTAGTCACTCAGTTGAGTCTGGCTCTTTGCGACTCCATGGACTGCAGCCCACAGTCTCCTCTGTCTATGGGATTTCCCAGGCAGGAATACTGAAGTGGGTTGCCATTTGCTTCTCCCTGACCTGACATATATTAATTCAGGTCTTAAAACAATTCAAGCTTAGTAATGAACTCATACGTTTCTTATGGTCTAATGAATGTATTTTGAATTGACTTCACTGTGTGCACATTCACAGACCTTTTCTGGTGATTGATGAGTACACGATGAGTCTGACTGCACTTGGGCAGAGAGTGAGAGAGAGACTCAACACTTCATCACTGCTAACTTTTATTAAATTAGTGAATGTCTAAGTCTCAGATGGTAAAGAATCTGCCTGCAATGTGGGAGACCCAGGTTCAATCCCTGGGTTGGGGAATCCCCTGGAGAAGGAAATGGCAACCCACTCCAGTATTCATGCCTGGAGAATTCCATGGACAGAAGAGCCTGGAAGGCCACAGTCCATGGGGTAGCAAAGAGTCAGACATGACTGAGCTACTAACACACTCAGAAGAATAGAAATAATAGTTGAACTGTCTTTAAATTTTTATCTTTGAGTTTGATTTTTCCCAGCTATCAAATAACCTTGCATTTTAATGTTAAAGTAGTTTTGGCATAAGTCCTAAATCTTTTTATTTATTTTTAATCTTAGGTTAAACACATTGCTGAAGACCCTCCATGTAGTTGTTCTCATCGGTTTTCTATTGAGTACTTATCTGAAGGACGATATCGACTAGGAGATAAAATACTTTTTATAAGAGTAAGTCCACCATTTACATCCTATTACATTCAGATCTTTTTTTAAAATAAAATTTCATTCAAGTATAGTTGATTTACAATGTTGTGTTAGTTTCACAGCCAAGTGAATCAGTTATATGCACACACATATCCACTCTTTTTTTAGATTCTGTTCCCATATAGGACATTATAGAGCATGGAATAGAGTTCCCTGTGCTATGTGGTAGGTTCTTATTAATATATTTTTATATATAGTCACCTATATATATGTCGGTTCCAATATCCCAATTTATACCCCCACCCCTCTCCATGTTCAGATCTTGTTTTGAGCAACTAACCATAGGGATAGCTAAGACTATTTAGACTTTGGATATAATTGGGGGAAAAAATATCTTTGAATACCTCAGGTACTTATTTCATTTCCAGACTTCCTAAGAAGGAATAGTTTTCTATCATAAGAAGAAAGAAGCAAAATCAGAACATCTAATAAGATTAAATGTCAGTAAGAAAAATAAATAGAAATATTGTAGTTGATAATAACATAAGACTTTAAGTATGAAGCCTTTTTTTTGCTGGCACAGCGTCAGCATCTATACTAATATGCTAATATACATGCTCATTTTCTCCCTTTATCCTTTCTGTAATCTGTTATTGATTAATTGTCCCCGTTGCTGATAAGGAGAGTCAAGTTTTACCTGTTCAGCATTCTGTCCACTTCTGATACAAGAGCTGTTTTATTCCCAAGTTAGGAATGTAATATGAAAGTATGTAAAAAAATCCAATTTCACTACCCACATTTTCTTTGATTTCATGTATTATCATTAGATCCCCATACCCTACTCAACTCACCCAGAAACAGGTACATGCACTTTCTGTCTTTTAATTAACTTTCTTTGCTTAAGCAGTATGATACAGTGACAGTGTACAGAGCGTGGGATTTGGAGTTAAAATTTGTAGAGCAGTCTCATACAACTGTGCTGATTTCCTGTTGAATGAATAGGGTAGGGGCCTGAGGTCCAGTTTAGGCTGCCCTCGCAGACCCAAGATGTACCGTTTCTGCATGAAGGCACCATTTGGGACCTGGTAAATGTGAGTTCAGGCCAAGTTGGTGATTTGGGACAGTTTCCTTAATCTCTCAGAGCCATTAGTTCCTCATCTGCAGAGAAGAACTAGAAATAGATTATATCAAAGTTTTGGAAAGATTAAATTGATATTATTCATGTGAATGTAATTTATTAAATTCTAAGGTATAAAATTTGGTCATTTTTATTGTTCTACTGAGCAGTGTTCTCCTTGTAGTTTTGCACTCAGTAATTTGGATTTTTAGGATGTAAACTGTGTGTAAATATCTTCCTTACAAACTGGAAGACTCTATTGTTAGTGGCATGATTCAGTATGAATTAAATTTTAATAATACAAGAAAGAGACTGTCAATTTATAGTGAAGCTGTTGGCAAATACACTGCATTTCATAGTCACAGACACCACAGACTGTGACTGCTAATAAATTATGGCTGCACCTTACAGTTTTACAGCTTTATTTTTTGCTTTCTTTTGGGGGAAAGATGCTTCACGGAAAACATGTCATGGTCCGTGTTGGTGGAGGCTGGGATACTCTTCAAGGATTTTTGCTTAAATATGACCCGTGTCGAATATTACAGTTTGCTACGCTAGAACAGAAAATTCTAGCATTTCAAAAAGGAGTTTCCAATGAAAGTGTGCCTGATTCGCCCGCCAGAACACCTCAGCCTCCTGAAATGAATCCTTTGTCAGCAGTTAGCATGTTTCAGAAACAAAACTCAAAACCTGGCACATCAGTTGGTGTCCCAAGGGGCAAAGAGAAGCAAGGCCATCTGCCAGCTGCGCTGCCATCAGCGTCTTCCCTGAAAGGAGGGAATCTGGTCCCAGGGTCAGTCCGTTCTAAACTGGCAACTTCTCCAACAGCATCTTCTCATCTCAAACTCACGTCTTCAAAGGGTTTAACAAAGAAACCACAGGCTCCTTCTAACAATGCGTCATCTTCACATGCTTCTTTAAATCCAGTGGGTAAAAGCACTTTTTCACCAGCTTTATCAAGAGCAGCACCTTGTGTATCTGAGTCGTTGAGAAAATGTATCTCATCACCCAGTACTCCTAAGACCAAGCGTGTTCCGGCCCAGAAGTCAAGAGATGTGCCTGAGTCTACACTTCTGCCAAATAAGTGTTCTGGAAAAACTGAACCAAAGCATTTGAAACACAATCATGTACCTTCCAGGGATCACGCAGTCTCTCCCTCAGCTTCACATTTAAATTCATCATCAAAGTGTCCAAAGCCACCTAAGGCACATCTGCATGTGAGGCCTGACCCTTCTTCCTTCCAGTCCCCTGCAAAAGTGATAACAACCGGTTCCAAAACTGTCACCAGGAGTCTGGAAACACGGGCTCAGCCCCGTGGTAGAGCTCCGCAAGCCCAGAAACCTAAGTCGGCCCTGAATTTAAACCAGCCACTTTCTGTATCCTCAGTTGCTCCTGCAAAAGCTGCACAGAAATTGAAAGATAAGAATATGGCTTCAGTTGCCAAAAAGCAACCTCAGAATAAAAGCACGCCCCAGAAGACAGGACCCAGCTCCTCCAGGTCCCCGGGCCGTACCCCACTGTCCATCGTGAGTCTTCCCCAGTCTTCTGCCAAAACACAAGCTGAACCAAGGTCAGTACAGACTGCCACCAAGAGCCAGTGCTCAGCTACTGGGCCTCCCAAAAATGGCAAGGCCCCAGCTTCAACCAGGAAACCACCCTTGTCTGGCAAGGAGACGGTTAGTGCAGATAAAAAACCTTCTGCTAAAAAAAAGGAAGATGATGACCATTATTTCGTTATGACGGGAAGTAAGAAACCTAGAAAATAAATATGATGTGTCATTCTAAGAAAACAAGAGAAGAGAAAGAGAGTGAATGTGTTAACTTCTCATCCTAAAAAGTTTCTCCTGTTTGTGTTTATCCAAATAGGTTCAGACATTAAGTATAATAAGAAGGGGTATAGGCTGGGCCCAGGGGAAGTCTCAGAATTCACATACCTGAATTCACCAGAAGGTAACTGTTTGAGACAGAGACAGTGGTCAAATCACCAGGAGGTTCTTATTAGTTATAGACATTTATATCATTTTCCACCCGTGACATTTTTGTTAATGTCTACCCACTAAGGGAATCATAAAGTCAAATAACACTACTAGGACTGTAACCATAGTTGCTATATTTTGAGTATGCATTAAAATATGGCGGTTATTACCTGCTGATAGCCATAGAGGTGCTCTTGTTATGTTATTGCATTATAGTTTAAAAGCAACGGTTTGGCACTTGTCTTGGCACCTAGTTTAGGTTCCTGATCAGGATTGTTGAGAGGAACAATACCGCGTACTGATGGCTGTACTGATTGACTGCTGTTACACTGGGTATGGGAGAATGGTTACCACTTTAAAACTATTTAAGCTTTCCAAATCAGAAAGCACTGATTTTTTAACTGACTTATATTAACATCGATAATATTTTGTTACCAGTGTTTTTGGTAAAAAAACAAGATATAAAAATATAAATTGAAATTTGGAAAAAAGTTCATGTATTATTTATAAGAAGTTATATTTTTGATGGACATTGTGCAATGTGAAAGGGGAAACACCTTAGTAGTTTTAGCACAGTAGAAATATTTTTTAATAATGCAATTTTCTATGAGTGCAGATGGCAGTTTTTACATTAAATAATGTTAACATCAAAATTATATTTTTACAATCTCAAAATTAAGGTGATAGTGAAGAAAAAGTGGTGCTGCATAAAAATTCTATCATGTGATTGTTAATTTTCTTTATAGTAATACCCATTTTAATTAGTTTTCCAGTTATGTTTTCTTCAATCAAGTCATGCTGCCTTCAGTTTTCCAATGTCAAACAGTCAGTATGTACCATTTTCTGTTCTGTAGGCAGATTCTCGAAAGAACTTACCCAGATAATATAATGACTACATAGACTCCATCAGTCTAACATATTTGTAAATAATATGTTTTTAAAAGATTGTGCCTATTTAAAAATTTATTAATGTACTTTCAGAAGTTTTAGGGATGTGTTTAATAACTTTACAGTATTATCAGTTATTCCATATTGAGGTTTGTGTTTCCCTATTTTAAACTAAAATGTGTTTTCTTAAGAAAAATAATGGTTCATACAAATATGCAAACATAGAATAGCCATCTTAAGCTGACTACTAATGTTAATAGATTATAAAGCATGAAACTTTTGTATAAAACTAAGTGATCTTTTGTCTGAGGAATAAAGACAAAAGTTATATGCAAGCTAGTTTTTGAAATAATTGATGCTTCTCGTAAAAGAGATATGGTCACCAGAATAGTTTAGTTTCACTGTCGGTCTGGGCATTGAGGGAGATAATATTTACATCTTTGGAAAGTGAAGTCAGTATTCAAGAAGTACTGGAAGCTTTACATTTCTAGTGATAAGAAATATTTACTGTATCTTTCAAAAAGGAAGAATTTTACCTTCAGGAAGGTGTTTATTCCTTTGTAAGACCAAACAGTGCTTCTGTATCAGTAACATCAGGAATAAAATTGTCATGTGGCACAAATTACAAGAACTAGGTTTTATTTTTTTCAGTTGGAAGTTAATTCATAAATAGTCCTATTTTCATCAGGCCACTGATAGTAGGAATTTCTAATTCCTATAATTCTGTTTTAATTTCACACTTTGATACAGTGAGAATATTCTTGAAATACTCATTTTATCCAATATTTGTGGCTAGAAAATTTCTCCAATTATATCCACATTGGATGAATTTTTATTTATAGATAGCTTACTCTTCCAAAATAAAGCTATTTTTTTTTAAGTAAGCAATGGCTGAAAGATAATTCTTTCAAAAGTATTTTGATATGCTCTTAAAAGACCTAGTGTTTCTAATTGTTTTCAGTTTTAAAAGTACATTGTTGAAGTTGGGAAGAAATTTTCATTTCTTAATAATAGTGCATGATTTTTAAAGTTCCTTTTTGTTTAATATTTAATAAAGTGAATATTAAGCTTAAAGTACTAAAGTACCTGGAAGAAGAAATAAAGTGTACTTCCAAGAAAGAATGGAATGTTTTTCCATTGCTATAATTTGTTGTTGTGAATAACATATCAAATTAACCTTCAGGGGAAAATGAAATGCTGGCTATTTTTGCATTGTTTGAGTCTTACAGTAGGTGTTTAAAACTTAAATCTTCAAAATGTTTTGATAAATTAGATGATCTCTAACTTTCTTCTTCACACTAAATTTACAGTGCTTAAAGGATAAGGGAAATTTTTTGAGAAAAAGATTGCCATAACCTCTGTGATGTATAGCTGATATAAAAATCTACTGCTTTTTTAAGAGCCATCAGTGACAATTGTCAAGATACAGTCTTGTTATCCAGGTTTGCATACAGACTCCATTTGAATCCAAATTTATGTATATTTTCTTGGACTGGCAATGTTTGTATCAGATTTTAACTTAAATATAATTTCTCAAGTATTAAAATTTAACGTATATACCAAGTCCTCAATTTACTTTTTTATGTGTTCTGAGTATATTCTGATCACGTGGTTCATGTGAGAAATTGCATATATGATGCAACTAAGACCCGATGCAGCCAAATGAATAAATAAATATTAAAAAAAAATAATATTGGTGTTGAGTTATCTTAAAAGAAGTGTGTATGGTGATGAAGTGATTTAAGAGATTGCAATGATAAAACATTAATATATAATACTTAATTGTCTGCATTCTGCCAGGCACAATATTTATTGCATGGTGTTGGCATGTAGTGTGTTATCTGTTATAATTAACGGCTAGTCTTGTATGGTTTCATATAATACATTTTATCTATTTTGACCAACTTTGTTAAATTACTTTTGATAAATTATTTCACAAATTATAATGAATGAATGTAGTAGAATGGATTAATGTTAGGTGTGATTGTTGAGGACCTCTAGTGGTCAAATTGTGGCATTGTTGAAACACTTCTGTCAACTTAAATCACTGTTTTCTACAACCTCTCTCGAGTTATGGGAGATAGAGGAATAGGATGGTCATCACATTCAAGAACCTTGGGTTTATAGAGCACTATGAAACTCATGAAGCACTTTCAATTACATTAACATCCAGTCTTCTGAACAGTTCCATGAATAATAAAGAAGTATTATCTTCTTTAGAATATAAACATCATAAAGATAGGAATTGCATCTGTTTTGTTTACCAGTGTTTTCCAAAGCCTAAACCAATGCTTGGCACATATAGACATTAAGTAAATATTTGTTAATAAAAAAATGAATGAACTCTTTTTTTGTAAATGAGGAAACTAAGGCTCAAGATAATTGACAGTATAAATATAAAAAATACCCTATTAGGATTGCTTAATTGAATTTTATTTAAAGGATAATTTTACTTTTACCTATTTATAACTTTACACAAATTTGATTTGTTCGTGTTAATTTGATAAAATAGGAATTTAGTGGCATCTTTTTTTTTTTAAATGGCGTCTTTTAAAAAAAAAATCTGTTGGAATATCACATCCTCTGTTTTCTTTATTTCTTCCTTTATTTAATTGGTTTTGATTTAGTCTTTTTTATTTGTATCATTTCTTTTTAGATTCTGCATATAAGGGATGTCACAGGATATTTCTTTGTCTGTCTGACTCTACTCACTGTGACTGTTTCTAAAGGAATTAACCTTTATTTTAAATATTCTAAACTTGAATAAATTTATAGAGATCAGTGTATTCTTACATTTTTAATTTAATATTTATAAAGCACTTAACCTGTATTCAAAGTAAGTTCTAGGAATGATGAATGTTTACACTCAATCCTCAGGACAATGTCATGAAGTCGAGGTGCTCTGTAAATATTTGCTGGATAAATGAATGAAAAAAATAAGTTAAAGCTAGCACAAAATACTTATATTGGCAATTAAAATAAATTCCCTGCTAGTGCAGTGGAAATAGATTTTGGTGAAAGGTACTACTTGCAGGTGGCCCGAGAATCTCCAGGTTTAAAAACATTAAAAAAAAAAAAAAAGATTGCCCTTTGAGTGAACAGAAAAAATAAAAATAAATTTTCTTCTTCTTCCAGGAGGAATAAATAAATTTAAATTTCTCTTACAAGCCCGAACAAGGTAATACAAAGTTGTGTCATGTAATTTCAGTAATTACTTCAGTAATTCACTGCACCATGCTAGGTGCTCAGGAACCCAATAATCAGCTGTGGAAGAAGATGCCAGACTGTGGTGTTTGTGTACTGGAAGAGGAGTGGAACATGATGTTTCTTATTTCATTCCCAAGCCCCGAGGTAACATGATGCAAGTGCCTTTAAACAACGATTTGTGGTAGTTTCCATTTATGTTAAGCATCAGTGAAAATAATTTTTGAAGTTCAAGAAGTCCCAGGTGTCCTTAAAGATTGGGGGGAAAAAAAATCACTACTGAGAATGACAGCCCTTGAAATCAGTGAAGCCCAAAGGGAAGCGAAGAGGCCAGGATGGTCTTCAGAGGCTACTGTAGCAGGAACTGAGAGTTCTGGCTTTACCCACTGCTCCCCCTGCCAGCCCTTCAATTGGTTTATCATTACCCTCCACGTCGCTGCTTAAACATCACCTACTCAAGCTTCCAGGCCCTCCGAGCCTTGGCTGGATGCTTCCGTGTACCTTCTTCACACCTTACACTTGTCCTGTTACTGCATTGCCCCCTCACAGTACTTTCCCACTGACTTACTCAGTTCCTCACCAATTCCTCACTTGTCGACAGTTGCAGCTCCTGGGTTTAATGTCTGCGTTTAATGCCTAAATGTTTGTGGAGGGAAGGAAGTAGTCTTTTACTGATGGAAATAAGCATCCGTAAGTAT